GGAATGGACATCATGATTAAGGTTAAAGAAGGCAACCCAGCTATATATATACCTACTGCGGAGAAGTATGATCGACAGCGATAATCTATCACGTAGCAGATTCTAGGTATCGATCAATAAGCGAAAGTTCTGGAGCTTTCGAAAAATCGGCTCAGGACTTTCTTACCATCCCAAGTAGTAGACCGCTAATCCGCCAAAACTTCTTAAGATGGTCGGTGTCCGTGGCACTGTGATAAGTATTGGTGTTTCAATTTCAATGTCATCGGCATAAGAATTCGCTCAATCGCTAAACCATCCCAAAATCCGAAACATGTAATTGTTGACGCTAAGTCCCGATACTGTGTAGCTCTAGTATCATTAGTTATCCTATTCGGCCGCTAGACCATGTTGGTCCCGAAATATGATGGATGTTTATGGGAATGACGAGCTGAGGGGAACGAATGCCTTATCACCAGCACTATAATAACCTTTCGTTAATAACATCAATCAGATCCATCAAAAGCATACATGCCGCGTAACACAAGAACCCAGCTATGCTCAGTTCTACAGTTCTGCTGAAGCCTACTTTGCCGCGCAGTCCCGAGCGGAGCCAAACTGATAATAACATTTATTTCAAGTGGCTTGCCTCTTGTTCAAATCGTAGCATCTCCTCGATTTCAGTAGCCTCTTTTTCGCATGTTTTGCCATTCAGACGCCTAATATTCGTGAGAACTCGACGCGCCTCCTCAATTCGTCCATGTTGAATCAACCATCGTGGACTTTCGTGAAGGCAGCTGCAATTGTAGCAAAAAAATATGTTGCGTTTTGACACAGCAGAAGACGAAATTCTTTCTTTTTTCTTTCCGTGGAATCAGAGTAACTGCGAAATTAGGAATTGTGAGCTCTCCCAAAATTCTAAAGCGTTCGACAATATTCTGACTATGACCATCCTGTGATAAGCCTCTCCAGAAAGGGCGGCTAGCTTACACCTGGGCTAATGGCATCATATATCGAAAAAACACAAGGAACAAATGACTCATAACTCACAAAAGGTTGATTATTGTGACGACGGAAATGACGCAGCTGAACAGAGCCAGGTTACGCCAATCGTGACAAAAGTAGGCGATAATCGGATAGATGATGAAATTCGGTGACCATGTTACTATGGTGTTTATCCACATTCGATGGTGCTTTGGTATATTCTCGATCAGGTAGACGCCGAACACACTGAAAAGGCAAATACAGCAAAATCTAATCGTAAACTATTGTATTATATATTTCGCCTAGGGAACATGACAGCATTCAAACACAACTCCTGTAAATCATGCTAATTTGAGAAACATAGCAAAAGCCGTTATCGGAGGTGTAAACAGGGCGAATATCGGTCGAGGAAATCCTCGACAGGGGGGTCGTACCTGTCAGGGTGGGTCATGGGGGGTCGTACTCGTGGGGGTCAGTAACATCAGTGGTATCGTGGCAGAGCGAGAGGGTGTAGCGCAGCAGAAAACTAAGATATGTGAGGAAACGTGATTGAAATACTCTGCAGGTCTTGGACGAAGAAGCTGTTCCTTACATTATAGGAGTTACGAAATGTGTTACAGTTTCTGTCAACAGGTCATCATCATATGTATAACACCTTTCAATAGATTCTACAACTTGAGTGGAGGTCGGATGCATGGCCTATACTGAGACGAGATCGGACGATGACGATTGCCCCTTTTCTTATCGCTTACGTTGGGAGAATGTATTCTAGACACACATTTCGAGAGTTGCCAACGAATTACACTTGCAATGGTGAAGAAGGGAGCGGCTTTTCAGGTGGCCGAAATCCGTCCTCGATAGATCCTCGACGCAAATATCTCCTCAACTAAAAAGTGTAGAAGAAGCTAAACAAATTAGAGGGGGCAAGCCGGTGAAACTCCAGTTCGGGGGGGCCACTCCATTTTTTTCCAATACTCAAGATAAGGATTAG